GGTCTCATATTACTTCCCAAGACAGGACCATTTGGCTATTCTACACCTCAACCGTAAACAAAACACATCCATTCAAAGTCGTCGTTACACAGGGAACATCGTATTAAAATTTCCAACCCTCATAATCCGGCGTTGAAATCTCAGTTCAGCCCAAACCTTGTTGATATGGCCAACAAGACATGCGGACTAAAGACCGTGACCAATGCTTTGATGTCATTGGCGTATTAAAGTAGATAAATGTTCATCTATTGCTTCAGAATTTAGCTGCCGCATTCCTTTATCCAGAAAGTCTTGTGGAAACAGTTCTGTCGAATGGTCTCAATCGAATATATGGGTTTCATGCAGTATGCATTTAGCAAAACACTAGCACTTACCCTAACCTGACCATTTAGCAACAGATCAGGATAATCTTCTTGACAGAGTTCGCACCTACTTTTTTGTTTGGGATTTAGCACACACACACACATTGGGTGGGAACAATGTGGCATACGTATGTAGCAATTCGGCACAATTAATATTCACAAATCTTCCACATTTTATACTGTCATATTTGTACTAAATTTGATCAAAAAGTTAAATACTCCCGATTCGCTTACCATGTATATTACTACGGTACCAAATGCCTGAAAATTTTTCATGAAAAGTACACAGTACACTTTGTAGTTGAACGAAAATTTTGTCATGAACATACTAGGATAAAAATGATCGCAAAATGTAATTTTAGTTCCTCACACTACTGTTTTACTGTCTTAATAATAGAATGTATCATTTTTTTCAGTTCTAACTCCTTCCTTTTATGCGTCAAGTCATGGGAATCTAGAAGTTCTTTGCGCTTCCCAAGAAATCAAAGTTGAGTGAAGACAATGTATTATCATAATATCGACAAATCAAAAAAAATAATCTCGCGTATTCAAGAAATAATTCAATTGATGTAAACATGTTCCATATGTAGGTAGCCAAGGGGAGGTGAGAGATACTGGGAAAAAACTGCCAGGTTGCTCTTGATTTAGCGCAATAGTGCCCAATCATAGGCCAAAATGAAGAGATGGGAGAGAATTACTATTATATATCAAGGCTCAGAGATACGCGCTACTCTTGAAGGTTTGTCAGTGCCAAGATGCGATCTGCAATCACATATTTCAAAGGCTCAAACGACAGAAAGAAGATGGCACTTGGTTGCCATGCGGAGAGTCGTTGGAAGCTGAAATGATTGATGTTTTCTCGGCCCATTACCACTGACAAATATGGAGTTCCATTGGAGAATAGACGGAGGATGTGCGAAGGAAACGGTATATGGGGACATACATGCTTCGTGAAAAAAGATGTTCGTAAATAGAATCAGAAAGTGGATTAATGAAAGCTTTGAACAAGCAATTCAAGTTGATTGAAAGAGTTGAGTTGAATTGAGTGAAAGAATTCTTACAAAACTGAAAAAGGGATGAATTTTTTTCGATACTTACTGTGATGAAAGCTAGCAGATGAAGTGGCAAAAACCTTGCTTGATTTTTGTAAATCTGCAAAAATTATTTATTATCGATCGGTCATAAAATGATTTGGTTGCGTTGGCAATGTAGAAATATTAAAGTATGTTATTATTAAAGGAGTAATTTAAGGGAGTTAGATGGTCAAATCCGCTAGAGCACGAATGGCTTGTAAGAGTTGGAAGCAAGAAAATCAAAAATAAAAAGAAAGAAAAGTACGAAACAAAATACGACAATATCACAAAAATAAAAATACAATACTCAAAAACAAATAGTTTTACGGATTGGTACAGACCACTTATCAAATCAAGGATATTTCACCGGAAACTCCAAGAATTAGTTGGCTAATGTCTAAGATTTATCCATTTTAATAGATCGAGGTCCTCAGTAATTGGCAGATCTTCTTCTTTCTGCTTCAATCAATATTGTACATGAGAAAGTAAAAATTATATTGCCTAGCTATTTTGATTTGACTTCTTGAGCTTCAACTTACTGGAGCAATGTTTTTTGACAATCAGAGCACAAATTGAGTCTAATAGCTAACGTGACTGCCGAGCATTTGTCACCTAGCATTCACAACAAGTTTACAGAAAAACGTAAACACACAAAGCGAAAACAAGAGCGTTGTACGAGCACTTGAAGGATGTGTTCCGGTCACGTCGCTTTAGCGAAGAATAATGTCGAATTCTCTAAGGATTTGTGCGCTTTTTATGGTTCTAGCCATTGAGTGTAGCACAAGATTTGAGTTCATGCAAGTTCAGGGGAATGAGTAGAGTAAAAGTGAGAATGTAAGTGCAAAATATGAGATGTGTTACCAGAGCGGAATGCACTTAACGCCTGACATAGCTAGTGCTAATTGGCTAATAAGATTTCAGACAAGAAGGAGTGTGAAACTACATTTTCCGTATCTTATTGTGGATTTACTTACATATTCATTTGGAAAATGGTTTGTCAAACAACTGAGACAATTATGGGACATACCAAATGAACTCATGAGCAGGATGAAGACGAAACTTGAGAATGGTAGTGAAAAAGAACAAGAAAAGGAACTTAGGAAAAACAGAAGAGGAAACAAATGAGGTATCTTTGAGCAAAGCCAAGCTAGTGAGAGGCTAATGTAACACAATAAGCCCAAAAATCATTTTTCTATTGCGAATACAAAGAGCTGTATTTTTGATTCTTTCAAAATACTTTGGTCTGCAGTCTTTGTTATTATTTCTATTAGGTTGTCCGATAAGTCTTTTCATATTCGTACCTTCAAACTGATATTTCTCAAAAACAAAGGCATCTAGAAGGGTGCAAATTTGGGGAGTATTTCTGAGTGAATGAGCTATTATAATCACATATTTGAGGGGAGCATAGACAAATTACAGGAAAAGTTTGAAAATTGAGCGCATTATTTTTTTTCTCAATTTCTAGTTTCAAAAAATGCAACAAGTGTATATAAAAATACATCTGACGAAGGAACTGAGATACAACTATTTTCCTTTTTTTCGGGATTTTGGATTTTTTTTCCTTTTGTCTTGAAACTCGATGCGGTTCAAGCCTGATGCGAACTTTTGAGAGCCATATTGTAGAGCTTGCTTTGGTTTGCTTTGGCACCCCATCCCATTAGAAATCTAAGAAGAGCAGACTTGTACTGGTGAAAAATATGGAAAACAGATACAGATATGGAAAAACTTATGGGACAACCTAATAGTATGTCCTGTTTGCACTGCGTCTCAAAAAAAGTTTTTTTGAAAATTTGCTAAGAGGAATTTTCAATCGCTTAACTGACTGCCAGTGTCATTTTATCAAAATTAAAACGTATGAAGCATTCTCATCTCCAGTATGGAAGCTAAAAATTCCAGACTCGTTGCTGTACCTGTAGCAAAGTGCGTGTGTTCGCTGTTGCGGCTCGGTGTGCTCAGCACTTCGCCCAGTGCTCGTCCGCCTGACTCCGCAACTCCTGACTCCAGGATCTACCGCTTCAGCGCTAGTGTGCGCACTACCTAGCGCGTCTGCTCGACGCCTACACCCCTCTAACCCGTACGACAGAAACATCACACGCACGACTAGATTACATCACATTTATCTAAAACTACACAAAACAACAACAACTAATAGAACAACAAAAAATACTAAAACTACTAAAAATTCACTAACCCCTACTCAGACTACTACTACTACTCCAGGACAAGAAGAATACGCACGGGACGAGCCGCCTCGTCCCGTGCTGCCGATGCCCGATGAAGATCATCTCCAACATGAGTAGTTCCGGGTTCTCCGAAGGGTCAGCCGCAAGTCCTTAGCCCTTACGGGACAGCGAGACCCCTCTCCACTCCCGCAATCCTTTCCGCTGCTTGTTAGACTACAATCCTAGCTGCGCGTCTCCATGCACAAGAAGAATATCAAAAGGCTCAACCGCTCGAAACCGTTGATCATCTGCGGGAGCTACTGGAGGCGCTGCCAGCGGGTTGATATCATCAAAAAATCGATAACGAACGAAGCTCGAGGAGGCGCAGACCGCAGCCCACGCGCCCTTATATACCCTGAGACTTGGCAACGCGCCCAGCAGGAGAGGTCTTGGCGCGATCTTGATAACGCGCCAAGTAACGCGACAGCCAGCGCTCCCGGTCTCCTGTTTCGAGGAGTGGCTTGCATCGCGCGAGCCGCGACACTCCCCCCCCGAAACAGTGGACTTGGACGTTCGGAAGGTGGTTACGTGATAACGCTGGAGTCCACAACGGAGAGCACCTAACCGAGTATGACCAAAAATAAATATTACCATCGGCAGCACAGTAGGGGCGCGCGACAAAAAGAATATGAGAAACTCGGCCCGTGCTGATGCGAAACTGAATAAAATGTAACAAAGTAAACTCAAACGCTAAATAATATACATGGGTAAGTAGATAGCTAAATGCGATTAACTGAGATTAAACAAGATCAAAAATATATACAGGTGGTTAAATATGAATAAATGTATGTAGAGGGCTTATCACCAAGCAGCTAGATACGTGACCACTGACAACCCTTCCACATCGAACCACATGACCGCAACCACAACAGTGACGCGCGACCACCGCATCAACCATTCACACATACGTTTCCAACCAGATGACTATACGCGTATCAAGTGCGTACCATACATCTCCACGCGTGTCCAACTCATTGCATACGGCCAGATGTTACTGAAACAAAAGTGGTTTATGGCGTCAGAACAATAAAAAATACTCGAATCACACTAACCATTCTCTCGACTCCTTCCAGGTTACTGTCACGCACTAGCTCGCCCTCAAGGTCTACTCACGCGCGCCACGCTGAGGCGACGGTGTTCTAGCGCGCGGCTGGAATTCCCCAGATGGTATCGGGTTGTAGGTTAGCTCTTCAAGCCAGGAGTAAAACGCGGCCGCCGGCATATGCACATTGCTCTTATCTATACCCGAGTTACGCATGCAAAACGCGCGGTGATGGCGCGCCCCGCCACAGTTCTTACAGTGAAATTCCTTAAAACAGCTCCCATAATGCACCGCAAGACACTTAGGACAGATCCCTTTCTGCTGCGCGATACGCACTCTCTCCATCATGTCCTTGACCACGTTGCACTCCGCGCTGAAGTGTCGCGTCCCTTCGCAAAAAAATGCACGGCCGGTGCTCGCGCCTAAATCTTCCTTCGAACCTCACTGGCTGCGCGGCTTGCTGCACTGGCTGATTGGGCTCCTGCCCAGCCTCCAGCACGGCGTCGAGAATGTGCTCAAGGCGGTGTTCCGGTGGAATCGAAGGGCCTGGGTGCTGCTGTTCTTCTTGTGGGGCTGATTGGCGCGTCGGGTATGCCTGCGATGGTTCTTCCTGTTGCGCGTCCGGCGGCTGAAGCGACACTGTCTGTCCTTGATCTTCCGGTAGGACTTCTTCTTTCTCCAAATTCCTAATTTCGGGTAACGATATAGCGCTGATGTCTCGCGCGACTGAAGAAACAGTTATAGTCGAGAACTGCTCACTCTCTGGGCTCTCTTGTGGTTGCTCTTCATCGGACTGTACCGTAAGACCTTCTCGCTCGATCATATCAAGGAATTCGTGAGTCAGAGAACTGTGGAGCATCTCATCATAACTCTCTTGCCACATCCGCAGAGCTTGAGTATAGGTGCGCGGCTGCAAGGGTGGTGGCCCAGGATCGGCCGGCGCGGCAAGTCTGCGGTACTCTTGATCTTGCTCTGTAAAACTCAATCCTCGGCGCGAGATGACACAGTTCATCTGAAGGGCTTCCAATGTGCGCGTCAAGGGGGTGGCATGAGCTATCGCTGCTGACGCGGCCATGGTCTTCTCCGTGATAATGGTTTCGGTACATCCTAGCGCGGCCAAAGCATCTAAAAAGACTTGCGAGCGCGCGAACAGAGGTGGCAGTAAATACTCCAGGATAAGATCGCGATGGACTGCGATTCCAGTGCTGATGTGCTGCACGATGTGTATATGGCCCATCAGCGCGACATACCTCAGGTTCATCTTGTCCTTGCGCAGCAGTAAAACTTGCGCGTTCATAAAAACGTTATTAGCGCTGTCTAGCACATCCGTTAGCTGGCGCGTGTGAAATACTACTTGCGCGGCCTGATATTGCTGCTCAGGTGTTAAAAGCGCGGCCTGCTGAACTTCCTGCTGTACTGGCGCTAGCGGCGTGCCCGACCTAATAAGAAACTGATAGACCCTGCGGAGCTGCGCGGCTGTAAGCTCTTCTACCGTAGCGGCAGCGCGTCTGTAGAGTCCTGCAGAAGCGATAGTGTAGGCGCCATCCTATCAGGTGCTGGGTTAGGCAAAAGAGGCGCGTCTGGGTCATTACTAGCGATGCGCGCGCGTAAACGCTGCTGCTGTCGCTCAATCGCTGCAAGTATCTGCCTGCATTCCAGCTCGTTACTCATATGCGCAACGCGGCGTCTCGCTTCTATGCCTGCCAGTTTCTTAATAGCTTCGCCTACTGAAGCGGGGCCTTGTGATCTCGCGCGCGATGTAGTAGGCGCTGATGCTGCTGCGTCAAGGGATTGCGCGTCTGGGCTAACTGTGCGCGACAGCGACGACGAAGACTGCTGCATGATGTTGCCAAATACGAAAGTTGAGAGTCCGCACAGCTGGAAAAAGGTGAGCTTGATAAGGGGTAAATAACAATATGAGGGCTCAACAGAAGAAAGAAGCGCGGCTAACTACAGCAAAAAAATGATGAATAAGGGGTTATGTGCACTGTTATTTTGGAGAGGGCGCAAAATTTTCGGCGTGCACAGCCGAGGGAGCCCTATGCAACAGGAAGAAAAACAAAGAAAAATAGTCTTCTTACTTGTGTTGTTCCCTCTTTATCCTCAATCCACGATAGTCGACTGGTGACAGATAGATTTATTGACAGTGGAGACAATCGTACGTACAGAACGTATAGCTCTAAATAACAACACTAAATGGATGCTAGGAGCACAAAAATACAAGGTAGCGCGAAAAGGGGGTGAAAGCTACAAAAACTACTACAACAAGAAAGAATACTATACTAATAGAGTAAAAAGGTACGAGCGCGGCTGCTCTCAAGTTGAATCTAAAAAATGGATGACTCCGACCACTCGAAGCTCGCAGTCGCGTCCTATCGTATAACAGTATTTCGCACCGGGACCGACACGTGCTAAAGGTAGAGTTAGACGGAAAAAAGGTGCATGATGGTGCATGCAAACAGCGTCAATCATACGGAAAACGAGTCAAATAAGAAGAAAAGAAGATAGGTTAACTAGAAAAATAGGAAAAACTTAGAAAAATGACTAAATTACTTACATAAGGGAAAATGCACTGTCGTGATCACTTCCTAAACAATCCATGGTGTTGCTGCTGCGCCTTCGCGCGGCTGTTACCAGTACGCTCTACTTCTTCGTCTTCCGCGATTATCTCCAATGGCAATAAGTGATTTACTGCGCGGTCGACTACTCTTCTTCTGCCTGTTCTGATTTTGGCTGATCTTACATTGCCGTCTGGTGAGGTGTGAAGTTCCAGGATAAGTCCTAACGGCCAGCTGGATCTCGGCGCGTCCTGTTTCACAAGTACGACTTCGCCAACTCGCGGTGATTTTGCAGAAGGACGGGATTTCGCGCGTAAAGCTTCTCTATCTGCTAACGCTCTCAGATATTCTTGCTGCCAGAGGTTCCAAAAACAGTCCAAGTCGCTCAGCAAAATCCTATAGCGCGTATTCAACGCCTGGTAACTATCGTTCGTCGAATGCGCGATCTTTCGTGGTAAAGTGTCCCTGAGTCGTGCTATCTTGAAGTTAGGTGATATCAGATCGATTGGTCGAATGGCCGCATTCGCATTCGGGTTTACCGAATTCACTGGAAAGAGCGGTCTAGTATTCAGGATGGCTTCTATTTCAATTAGGAGTGTTTCGAAGATCCAGATATCCAAGACTTGATTCCGTACCGCCTTCTTCAGCGCGACCTTCACTGATCCCACTAGTCTTTCATAGAATCCTCCCTTCCAAGGTGAATACGGGGTGATGAAAGTCCAACGGATACTATGGCTCGTCAAAAACTGGTCCATCTCAGCGTCTTCCCTGATTTCCGGCAGCTGATTGTTGATGACCTCCTCTCCTAATTTGAACGTCGGCGCGTTATCGCTGGTGACAGTGTCCGGCGTTCCTCTGCGCGCCATGAATCGTCTAAATGCTAGTAAAAATTGAAAGGTGGAATTGTCTCTTACCACTTCCAAGTGCAGCGCACGAGTCGACATGCACGTAACGAGACAGACCCACACCTTATGGCAATCGCAGTTCAACAAGCGCACGGAAATCGGTCCGAAATAGTCTAATCCAATGTGCTGAAATGGACGACTCCTCGTCACTCTTTCCGCGGGTAAATCCGGAGCGCGCGGATAGGTATAAAGACGACCTTGATATCTCCTGCAAACGACACACCTGGAAATATACGATCTTATCAAACGTCTAAGTCTAGGTATAAAGAATCTCTCACGTAAGGCAGATAACAAATGTGACGGTCCTGCGTGAAAGAGCTGATGATGGTAATGCGTGATTAACTTCTCGCAGAGGTGGTGAGACGATAGTATAAGAATAGGATTCTTACTCGTATCGCTCGTCTGCGCGTTAACCATGCGCATATCAACTCTTATAGTACCATCCGTTTCGCGCTTAGTGTGGAGCTTCTTCACATACGTACCGTTCATTTGGCGCTGGCTCTCACGGTAGTGCTCTCGTATGAGCACGAGCTCAGCTGCCATAAAATCGTCCGATGTTATCGTGGGTGTGATATTCATCGTGTTGAATGGAAAACGTTCTTCCTGGGCCTCGCGCTGATTGCGCGTCCTGACTCTATGACGCAATTTAGTCACGTATTTAAGAATGTACGCTGTTATACGGACTAGCTTCACGTAGGAGTTGGTGCGCGTAAACGGCACAAAGGACGTATACGCCTCTTGGGTACCACTAACCGAATTTACGACCGCCTCAGGTATGCGAAGTTCTTCCGATTCTGCTCCTGGTGGTATGGGCTGTGATGGCTGGAAAGACTTGCATGGCCATTGTGAAAAGGGCGTCGCAAAAAAGGTAGGGCCTGTCCACCAAATGTGGTGTTGCAGCTCCGAGGCTGTCACTCCTCTAGTAGCACAATCCGCTGGGTTGGTCTGCGTGGCTAAATAGTAGAATCCAGTGGCGATCTTCTCTGTTTCCAGCTCGTCCAACACACGACGAATATACTTGACGCGATTAACCACATAGGTCTTAAGTGGTCTCTGAGAGTGAATCCAATAAAGGACTATTTGTGAGTCGGTTAGAAACTTGATCGAGCAGAACCTGACCTTCAGCTGGGCCCTCAAAAACTGTACTGTCTTAGCTGCCATATGGGAAGCTAAGAGTTCCATGCGCGGTATCGTGATGGCACCGGGAGGGGCCAACTTTGCTTTGGCGAAAAGCAAAGTAGATCGAGGTGTACCGCGACGAGGGCGCGTCAAAATGTAGATGGCAGTAGCGTGAACGCGTTTAGACGCGTCAGAACATACGACCAGGTCATATGCATCCTCGAAGGTATCACCAATGTAGCGCGGTACGCTTAGCTGAAAACCGCTAATATCCTGCACGATCGCGTTCCATTTCTGGATATCTTCGTCGGTAAGGCTGTCATCCCATCCATATCCGAGCTCCCAAAGGTCCTGAATGAACATTTTCGCTTTTATCAACAAGGGTGCCAATAGTCCGAGCGGGTCGAATGTCGACGCGTAAACTTGTAGCGCGGTTCTCTTACTCGTGACTGCTTGACGCGCGATGTTGAGTGGCACGTGTAGTGTATCAAGCGTAGGGTTCCATCTGACTCCTAGTAAGCCGACGTACTGCCCTTGTGCTAACATGCAACTGTCTTGAGGAATCGAAGCCATCGCTCTCTGGTTGTTAGACATAAACTCTCGAAGGTTCATGTACATCCTAGAGAAAATATCCTTGCACTCCTTACACTTGTCTACACATTCCTGGGTGGTCTTAGCTCCGACTATAACGTTATCCACGTAAGTATTGGCAAGTATTTCCTCCTTAAGGCGATTGGCTGGATCTTGCTCAAGAAAGTATCTGATCGACATGCTAAGTAGAAACGGTGATGCGTTCACGCCGAACGGCAAGCGCGCGAAGCGCATTATACGTAGATTCTCTGAAGAAGGTGGCTGGTGCACATCCTTCAACCAGAGGAATCTGGTTGAGTCTCTCTGATCCTGATGTAAATGGATCTGATGAAATGCCTTCTCGACGTCTGCAATGACAATGTAAGGATGGAAACGACTTCGCATCAGAGTTCCAACTAAATCCGGCAGAAGAGAAGGTCCTTGATGGAGACAGTCATTTAGACTGGGAACTCCTTTCTGGTGACTCGACGCGTCAAGGACAATCCGTAGCCTAGTAGTCGCGCTCTCTTGCTTGTACACTGCCTGGTGTGGTATATAGTACACGTTGGGGCCTTGCGCGGCAACGCGCGTAACATCCTCTATAATGCCCATCTTCAGCTGCTCATTGATAGTGTGACAGTAGTCGTTCCAAACTGATGGTGTAGCGCGGAACTTCTCATACTGATTCTGCAATCTGCGAAAGGCTAAAGCTTTGTTGTCGGCAAGCGGAGGATGTTCTGACTTCCATGGAAAGGACACGTAGATGTTGCCGTCCACAATCCTAACGGTATCGTAGAAATGCTTGATGGTATTAGCATCTTCTGTGTTCTCTTCCTCTTCCGTTGCAACCAGATCCAAGCCGAAAAGACTCTTGATCAACTGGTGGGTTGCAACTTCGTCGTCATCAAGAGGAGTCTTTGTAGCTAACAGGGTGTTCGTGGCAGGTGGATGCTTCTGCCCAGACAAGACGGGTCCAAATCTGGTGTGCGACAGTATGAGGCCAGATGGTAACTTCTCATTCCTGTGCAGGTCCACAATACGCCAATAATTATCTATCCCGATTAGTACATCGACTTCCACTCTGTCTCCTAAATCGACGATGTCTTTGTCGTTCTGGGTGTTGGTCCGTGGGACTGTCGTGATCCTCTCGCGCGTCCATAGATCGAGATAGATCGGGTAGTTATACTGGTCCCAGAGTATGAGTGTAACCTCTGACGATTCTTCCGTGAATTGGTGACCGCCGAACGTCAGAGTCGTAAATGTCCTGGTGTTACGAAATGATAAGCCTAGATGTTTGGCTAACGAGGTACAAATGAAACTAAATTGAGAGCCACTGTCTAAGAAGACTGTGAGCAACTCATCCGTATCCGTCTTATAATTCTTCGTAACTGCATGGACTACCATCAAGCGCGGTTGCGCTGATTCCTGCGAACACACAGATATACAGGATGATGGTGAATGAGAGCCTACGCGAATTCGGTGATGATCCAAGGGCTCTGCTTGCGCGTCCACGCTAGCTACGGGTTGATCAGGAGTACCGGTGGCGCTGTGTACTGCGGAAATACTACGCGACCTGCGCGCCGAAGAGGCGCGTCTAGCCGGTGAAGTAGAAGGTTGTCGCCTAGATGGTGATGGCGGTTTAGGATAAGAGTTACGCGATGACGATGCGCGCGAGTAACCTCGATATGCGCGCGGCACTGATCCCTGAGTCTCTCTGTAAAATTGCACACGTCTCGGAGAGTAAAACCTATCGAGACTACGCCTGGTGTTTCCATTCGCTGGAAGTGGTGGCGTACGTGCGCGCGGAGGATTCCAACAGAGAGCTCTATGGTGTATCCTACCGCAGTACTCACACAATGGCGCATCACACTGAGCGTATCCGTGATCTCGCTGTAAACACAACCAACACAATCTGTAACGAACAAGAATGGATCTGCGTTGTGCTACGTCTCGCACGATGTTGCATCGTTCGGATGGATGTCCAGGATCACGGCAAAAGGCGCAGTATGGTTCGTAAGGAATCGCATAGCGTGGTCTGCTAGGGCTGCGCGACGCGTTACGAGGGTAATACGGGGTCGGAGGTCTGTTATGCCTACTGTAGGGTGATGGCGTGCGCGATACCGACGGACGTCTGGGATAGTACGATGACGTACGATAGCGCGTAAACGCTGAATCCGTGCGGCTCACGCTCGGATACCTACGTGGCAAAGAAGAATCATGACGGACTGATGCCTGGGAGTTATACGCAAAGTGTTCTGATGGGTCAGCATCCTCAATAGTTTCCAATCTGTCGATGATGGTATCCAACGTCGAAAGTAACTCGTCAACTGTCCACATCGCGTCTCCCTTGGTCTTGTATTCGCCGATCTTTTCGCGCGTCCGTCTCGGGAATTTAGCACGAATAATCTTGAGAGTACCGATAGCACTAGAGTCCTCCTTGAGATGTGTAAGCTGGGTCCATATAGCCTTGACGGTACAAAATGTCGCGCGTTGCGACATCGGCGAATCTGATGCTGGTGGCAATTGCATCAACTTATCCCACAGCCTATTGCGGAGGATCTCTGGTCTACCGTACGTATTCGTCAAGGTACGTACTGCATCCTCATAGTTTTCTGCCGTCGATTGAAAACCGGCAATTATGCTCGCGGCTGGTCCTCTCAGATGTGACTTGAGGTACATGAATTTCATCGATGCTGGCACATTGATGTTATTGTGCACGGCTACCGAGAAGAGATCCCAGAACTCCAAAAAGTTGTCGATGTCGCCATGGAAGGTCGGAATCTCAAACGTAGGCAACTTCAACGTCTGTTCCACGGATGAAGGGGAAGAATTGACATTGGGGACTAAAAAAGAACTGAATGGATTCGACTGATGAACTGGAGGGGGATTCACAAAAGTTGGGTGGGCCGAAGGGTCATGGGAGGGATTGTCGAATCCTTGCGCGACACTTGGCGCGCGTGCTGGCGGGGGTGCTGGACGCGCTGGCACGACTGCCTCGGGATCAGCTGGACGATCCCTATTGTGCGATGAAGAATGGCTTGCGATTTCCATTCTTACATCTGGCGCGAGCTGCTGGGGATAAATGGGGTCTCGGGTGGGGTTGGGGGTAGGGTTAACAAGAGAGGGAGGAACAGTGGAAGTGCGAAAGTAGTATAATGCCTCCGAGCTTGGCAGAAGTTTGATGGCAGCATCAACACGATCCCGGAGAGTTTCGGCCTCCTCCACAAGGTCATCCAGTCCACTGGCATCCCAATGGTCCTGAATCTGCTGGAGGAGGGGGAACTCGCCGTTCTCGTCAGGGTGCTGCCGAGCAAACTCCTCGGCCTTCTCTCGCTGGGCACGAAGAGAATCAACAGTACGACCGAAAGAAGTAAAATGGAAAAATAGCAAACTTTTACGACTAAGAACAAGCTGTGGATCTCTACCTGCCTCGATGGTAAAATCCAACGGCTCCAAGATGGCCTCGTCAAACTCCGCGATCTTCTTGCGGATTGCGTTGGCGGCTTTAGTGATCCTAGCTTTGTGGGCACCGAAAATCGACATTACCTGGAAAAAATAGGAGAGAAAAACAATAAGAAAAAACTATGTACACACAAACGATAAATATGACGTGAGTAAATATGAGGAGGATAATCATGCTGACTAGATAACGACAACGGGGTGATCCGACGACTGGAGTTCCTAAAGGCGTAAGGCAAAACAGGTATAATACAACCGGGTGTCACTGAAGAACCTGCGCGACACTGAGTGGCGCGTGTATAACAAGGTGCCAAGACAAGTAACCTGCCGGAGGCCGGCCAGAGACTACTAAGGGCTCCTATTGGCGAATCGGAGGGGTCATCTGACGATGCCCTTGGGCACTTGAACCAGTTCCTAAAATAAACCGTGTTCCTTCCAATTGCCGTCTCCTTCTGTCATCTGTCCTTCGATGGTATGCTTTCGGCATCCTGCTCGGCAAGTCGAACTTCCTAACACGGCTGCTCTCCGCCTATACTAGGGGTAGTGGCGAACTAAAGGGGTTAAGCCTCAAGGGCCCAAGTGCGCTTATTGCACCAAAGAGGCTATACCTTACGGTACCCCATGTAGCACTACGCCGGGGATAGAGGTCACTACGGGTCCGAATTGGGCCAATCTTGCACTACTGACTAAACTACTACACTAACTACGGACTACAGGTGGTTAGACTACGGGGACAGACTAATACCGGTTGTAGAAAAAACTAAACTACAGTAGAGCGAAAAGAAGGAAGTGATGTGAAAGAAGAACTAACAGGATATGGATGCAAGGGCCCCTAGTACGTATCCATTTCGCCCACACTAACATACTCTATTGATAATACACTTAACTAGAACTCCAATACTAGATACTAAATAAACATGTGATCCCCACTACATACAACTTACTCCCGTCTCCCCGGTCCTGGTCCAAGCTCCTATGTGTATAGGACGGTGCCGCTCCCCTACCCTCGCGCTTCCTCACGCGTCCAACGATACAACTCCATCTTCGCGCGTCCACCGATACAACTCTGCGCGACCCTCACAACATCTCCATCCTCGTCCCATCGCCTTCCAATAGCGCGTACAACGATACAACTCTGTAACGCATTCGACGATACAACTCTATATACACGTACGACGATACAATACTAAGGCGCGTTCGACGATACAATACTGCTTATGCGTGCGACGATACAATTCTAAATCGCGCTCCTTCGATCCCTTCTATCCCCGCACAATCGTTCCAACTCTCCACGATCTTCCTGCGATCCAACTTCCCTGGCGCGTACTCCGATACAGCTCCTGCGCGTTCGACGATACAGTGCGAAATACGTGTACTCCGATACAACTCTGTTCGCGCCCCTCGACCTGCGCAATCGTGCTCGACGATACAATGCATAATGCACGTACAACAATACAACTCTGTGCGCACCTATCTGGCGACTCCATTCCACTCTATCCATCTTCTTCCTTCTGCAATCGTGTTCCTGTGCGTTCCAGCGATCCATTGGGCGATCCTGCTCGTCCTTCTACTCTCCTCTCACACAGCAACTAAAACTACCCAGACTCGACTTGCGCGGCCGCTGGTACTCTCCGGTACCCCCTGTCGAGCCCGCCAATTGACGACACCGGCCCTGCACCTGAGTAGCTCCTCCTAGCACAGCAGGCTTACCAGGTATTGCACGACGTGGGCGCTCGATCGATTGGGGTTCCAGTTGGCAAGTTGCCACAGTCTTCCCGACTTTCCCCCCGCGCTTACACGCCGTGCTTCGCACCCTGGCTAGCCCCGCAGCCTTGCTACTGGTTACGTAGATATTCATCGCGGTCTTCCTGAGTGCCTGATCTTCTTATTGCGTGCTGAGCGTGGTAGACATCGGGTCCGTTACGCACGCATGGAGGACGAAACAGCGCGTCCCTCTGACGCCAACTCCTACTATCCAACTCGATGTCATCCTGCACGACCAACGAAACAACAGGCTCCATGCGCGGGCGGAAAACATCATCCACCATGCGCTCGGCGTCGATGCACCATGTTGCGGCTCGGTGTGCTCAGCACTTCGCCCAGTGCCCGTCCGCCTGACTCCGCAACTCCTGACTCCAGGATCTACCGCTTCAGCGCTAGTGTGCGCACTACCTAGCGCGTCTGCTCGACGCCTACACCCCTCTAACCCGTACGACAGAAACATCACACGCACGACTAGATTACATCACATTTATCTAAAACTACACAAAACAACAACAACTAATAGAACAACAAAAAATACTAAAACTACTAAAAATTCACTAACCCCTACTCAGACTACTACTACTACTCCAGGACAAGAAGAATACGCACGGGACGAGCCGCCTCGTCCCGTGCTGCCGATGCCCGATGAAGATCATCTCCAACATGAGTAGTTCCGGGTTCTCCGAAGGGTCAGCCGCAAGTCCTTAGCCCTTACGGGACAGCGAGACCCCTCTCCACTCCCGCAATCCTTTCCGCTGCTTGTTAGACTACAATCCTAGCTGCGCGTCTCCATGCACAAGAAGAATATCAAAAGGCTCAACCGCTCGAAACCGTTGATCATCTGCGGGAGCTACTGGAGGCGCTGCCAGCGGGTTGATATCATCAAAAAATCGATAACGAACGAAGCTCGAGGAGGCGCAGACCGCAGCCCACGCGCCCTTATATACCCTGAGACTTGGCAACGCGCCCAGCAGGAGAGGTCTTGGCGCGATCTTGATAACGCGCCAAGTAACGCGACAGCCAGCGCTCCCGGTCTCCTGTTTCGAGGAGTGGCTTGCATCGCGCGAGCCGCGACATTCGCTGTCGCACCTTGACACTCGTAGGTTCGGCACCGCTCTCCAGCTCCGTGCGAGATGTAGATACTCGATGCGGCGTTTCAATGAGCGAAAAATAATGAAACTCGACGATTATTGATATTTCTAGTGGGATATTGATCACTAAGAATTTCGAACATCCGCAAAACATTTAAGCATCAAAAATTAGTTGTTTTTCTTGCTCATGTTACTGGTCTTGATTTTTTGTAAATAAATCTAATTGATCTAATAAATCTACAAATAAATTGTACAGAAGAAATGAGAAGTCAGATGCTGACATGTCTAAAAGTAGAGTCTATACAGTCAGCTGTCAGCTCAATGACCCTCATGGCTTTTTGACAACGAGCTGTACGAGTAAACTGATGCGTGATTTTCTTCTGTTGTTGGCTTATCCGTTCTGAAGTTCCAAATTGATTCGGTAGAGCTATTTGTTGATGCAAATACAATACCGCTCACAGAATGTGCAAAATTTCCATGAATGTCGCGGAATTCCAGGAACTCCGGATGTCCGCGACATTTCCAGAATTCCGCGACATTCCCGGAATTCCGCGACACTCACGAAAATTTCACACATTTTGTGAGCGGTATTGTAAAGAGCTTTATTTGATCATTTCGTATTCAATATTTATCGCCCCAAATCGACGTGAGGACTGATAGAAGTTGATAGCAAGTCAAAGAGAGTGATGGAAATGAAGGTAAGCAAGGATAAGAGATTAAAGGCAGTGTCCGGGCAAAAACTCGATTTTGAGATTTTGTGCTTATACGGGCCTATTCGCCACGCTGAATCCGAAAATTCACATTGGAAAGCGCGAAAACGGCGAAAAAGGGCTCTAATACAGGAGGGAAATTAGCAGGTGGGCGGGGCTTTCCCCAGAGCGATTTCACGCTCCCAGCTCCCGGAGCGATTTTCTCGATTCCGCTAGCCGTCCTAACATCGCTACCGGCCAAGTGCGAATGATTGACTTGAAACCGGACGCGAGAAGGTCGCTCCGGAAGCCGGGAACGTGAATTCGCAGTGGGAGGACCCCGCCCACCTGCTCATTTCCCTCCTGTGTTAGAGCCGTTTTTCGCCATTTTCGCGTTCTACAATGTGCATTCTCGGATTCAGCGTAGCGAATAGGCCCAAGTAAGCACAGAATCTCAAAATCGAGTTTTTGCCCGGACACTGCCTTTAAGTTTATGGGGTGGCATAGTGCTGAAAGACTGATGGTCAAAGACGAACGCGCAGTGAAAAGCGGACTACTAAAAGCGTCGATTTTTCCGCTAAAGTACTATACAGGGTGTCTCATAAAGTTCTATATGCTGGAATTATTACCGTAATCCTATAGCGAAGAGATCGGAAATTCGCTCCGTACTGTTAATCATGTTGAAGCACATTCTACAGGAAGTACCAAAAAATCGGCAAAAGACATAAAAGCAAGAGAGTTATTAACGATCAAACTGTGTCCACATCTTTTGGGACACCTTGTACAGGGTCTCAAAAGTATGTATTCACTGTTTGAGCACTAATACCTCTGTCCCCTAGAAATCTTTTGCCTACCTTATTGTTAGATACCATTTTGTAGGAAACGGTAAAAACTTCAATAAGGGGTTTGAGCCATTGAGAACCCTATTTCGCCTTAAAAAGCAAACCAAACAATCTGTAAACTCCCACACTAGGTTATTTGAAGTCGTGAAACCAAATATGAACTTTTCGTTTGACGGCGATGCTTCCTTTATGACTTATGCCCCGTAAACCCAATAGCTGTCTTTACAATGCTCCCTAAAACTTTGATTACACCATTTAAAGAGCTTTACAAACTTCTGAAATGTTGAGTAATGGAACTAGCACGCGCAAAATCCGCGATACACCATTTTCAGAATTTTTGTAATTTTTTGTTGAAACACGACTAATCCACAATGACACTGTAAGCCAAAAATTTCCACCATAATCCTACAGTAATAAAGAGCGATCGATGGTCCGCTCAATACTGTAAATCTAAGTTGAAGGTAGCTCTACAAAATGGTTCGTGAAAGTAGGCAAAAGACTTCATGGGGAGAGAGATAAACGACCAAACAGTGTATACATACTTTTGGGACACCCTGTATATTTCATTCATATTGGCTGTTCGTAGGCTCTACGTAGCCTGAGACGAGTTAGCGCCTCGCAGGGTTAGCATGGCGATTACGATAGACGTGGCAATGTATGACAGATAGTAACCATTCAATCAATAAACATACTTATATCACAGCTGGTCATGCTTATGGCATGACCTTCACAGTACTTTGAGAGCAGATACTATACAACAAAGATAGTGCCGATACTATTGGCACATATTCAGGGATACTCGCTTGAGCTGCGTCCGAAGTTGCCCGTCCCAGTATGCCAGAGCCGTGTCAGCGCCGTATCGGAACGTTGATTAATCAGTACCGTGTGCTTTCACTTGAGCTTCGATGCAGCGCTGGCACGGCACGAAAGTCAGAGAGGATCTGAAATGACGCTAGAAAACTCGAAAGTTTGTGCGTTCTGTTCGATTCGCAAGATTTTATATACAGCCGGATTTTTATTGCCCTGTCATAAAGCCCACGCAATATCCTATTTTTTAGCCTACTATCTGCTACCCGTGTACCTCGTTCATACTGATTCATTCTAACCCACGACATCTCAGATCGCGGTTGAGTCCGGCTTATGAAAACAGCGTGTTCTGACGGAATGACTGCAGGAATGGTTTGCGAGAAAACCGGACATCATGCATTCCGTTCGCGATAATGATTTTCTTCATTTTTCTAGAAGAGGGCTAAGACAATGTGGCCAGTTCGCTGGATCCAGTCACTATATGCGCTTGCATCCATGTTGTACACCGCCGTTCGAGGATGAGGAGCACGAAGAACCAAAGGCTAGGCGCCTGTAGCCGCAGAAGACAAGTGAAAGCGCAAGCACTATGGAGGAGATATTGGTGATGATCCAAGGAAATCAGTAAACAAACCCTTATAACTCTGCTTGGAGATTACTTCAAAAGATATGAAACACAGACTTGAAATCAGCATTGCAAGACGCAGTCTCAGCGTACGCCTACGTTATATTCAGCTTTAAGAACTGAGGACTTTCAAATTCAACAATGCATGGAAGGTTTTCAGTAAATTTTTCAGCCCATTTCAGGAACTTTGTTCGAAATCAAAAGTAGCGAGTGATGATAATCGGGTGATAGAGTTAACTAACAAGGAAAGGATACTCAGCCACCGTGGCCATTTGGAATGCGATGTATACTGTAAGATGCACCTCGAAATGCTGATTCCAAATCTGTGCTCGATATCTGCGAAGCGACCTTCTGAAGAAAGTCATGAACTTCTTTTCGTAGAAAATTTTCGTACTTTTGTGTAGCTAAAATCACCAGATTTGTTCTAAGTTACCATTTGAAGCTATTAAAGAGAAACTTAGAAGGAATTATTTTGTGTTATACCTATCTAAATCACATTCAGCATTTGAAAAGGAAAGAAAATTTTTTATTGATGATTTTACCCTCCGCAGTAACGCTGTTTATTCATGGAAAAATAATCATAACTCTATCCAGGTGTTATCGTTTCGCAGATATGGAAGACAGTATTCGAACCAGCATTGAAAGGCGCATTTTTTGATATACAATCATTACGAACGGCAGCGGTGACCAAGTATCCTTCACTTGTAAGTCGAATTGTGATAAACTTTCGTTATTGTCATAAAATAACTTCTGTCATTGTTTACATAGAAGGTATCATCTGCACGGATTCAGTGTTAAATCCTACGCAATCTCACGAAAGCCTCTAGGTCCAGAACTAAAATAAGCTTGAAGTTCTGTGACGAACTGCATGTTACAACTTCACAACAGCCTTCAGATGTTCTTCTGAGACATTTCAATCGCAGTTTGGTCCATTGACTCAACACAACTACTACTAAAGAAAAAATCTTCAAAGGGAGACATTGCTCTATCAAAATTGGAACTTTGTAATTTCATAATGACAAATACTTTCACCAAGAAGACATAATTTTTTTTACTAGTAGAATGTTCAATTTATCGAGACTTAACCAAGAATGTCTAATATTTTAGATGCTGTGGGTTTCATTCAACCCATCTTTTGATTTGCAACTGCGGTGATCTTTAGCTAAAAACATTGAACGATTTGTTCGTTTTCGGCTGTCTCCTTCATGGAGATTTACACCTTACTGCAAGTAAAGATAAGTAATGCGGCTTGGGAAAGCTGTGCTCCTTATACTATGCTCAGATGTGAAAGCAGTAGGTGAATGGCAAGGACGTATTCGAACGCACAACATAAAGGCTACTGCATGACGAAAGCGCAGAAGCAGTATTAAGCGGACTTGTAAAGTTCTACGCTGAACACAGTTTTTTAAGCTCTTCAGCTGTAAAAAACTGCCACCCTTCGCCGCTATCCTTCCTAAAGAGAACATCAAGTATCCTAACGGAGGCTGAACAAGTGTAATGCGCAAATATGGAATACGAAGTGTTTCTGTTTCTTCATCGCCGCTTCTGTTTCAAATAAAAAGCTCTTAAAAAGGAGTTAGGCAGCTGCAGAAAACAGCATTTGAATGCTTTTAAGTCATCGATCAAAGCAATCACGCTAGCCCAGGAAGTTTTTATGTATTTGTAGGCTGCCACTTTGCGCAGAAGATTTTTTGCACGCAAGCGTGTTTGCGCGAAGTCTGCCGACTGACTGCCGTGCTCCAAGGCTAAACCGATGACGGGGGGCTAAACTATAGTAAGCTTCAACTCAATTTAGGCGAAAAGTGGATGGCGGGAGTCCGCTTCGCAACGGTTAGCGCCGCTCTGCACTTTGCTCTCTTCATTCTAATCTATCTCGCAGAGCCAATGGCGATGCGGACGCGCTGCTCCACTTGAAATGTTTCGCCTACTCCCGGTTGAAAAAGACTGCACTGAAAGTAGGTTTGTGCCTCTCGATTACGTCAATGGGAAGAGAGTTCGTTAGTCTAAAGAGCCATGAAGGTCCTGGCACGAGAATGAAACGCGGGACTTGAGTCATTTTATGTTTCAGAACTCATCCATTCGTGCTTGCGATTAGTTTTGACTCTTTTGGAGAAAAGCAAAGCGTCGAATCCTTTTCTCCCTAATGTCAGAGTGACCGATTTGATGTTTTGTATTTTGTTGGCCTTCGCTTCTG